CCGCAGAGCCTGTTTGACACTCGCATACCATCTTACCTGGGTGATGTAAAGTCAGAACGTCGAGGTCAGGACGCCGAGTCCTCGAGTTTACGCTCACAACAACCTGCATTAACTTCCAGCTGCGAGACGGAGAAACCTCCATCCACAGTGAGCTCAAACGTCACAGAGACAAAAGTGAAGGACGCATCCTCAGAGACAGATGGAGGCCAGTTTGACAGCAGCAGTTAAAGTAGCTAACCGGCCACTGATGGTAATGCTAGCTGTCGTTGGCCCCGAGGTATTGGGAGCCAAACCCGCCCAGAAAACCACCTCGGTTGCAGCTAGCTACATGACGGCAGGACGTAGCACACATTCAAATCAGCGCTATTAGCTACCGCGACAAGTCCCAGACTTCCAGTTTCAACAGAAAACCGTATTCATGAGATTATAGATCTCTCTCAAAACATTAAACTATACCTTTAAGTGAGAAAATATGGGTTTTTTTGTAATTTGGAAGAACAAAGCTTTCACTAAATAATGTCACAATAAGGCCTGTAGTGATTCAGTGATAGAAACAGATCATTTCTTGGTTACTCAGCGCTGATTTACCGGTGTGAAGTAGTCGGACTGGCAGCAGGTTTGTGCAGTATTGGCAGTGTTTCCTGTGGACACCGGGTCGGTCAGTCTGAGTAAACAACAGGTGGGGCTCCTGCAGAGAGCTGAGCAGCAGCAGTTTCCTCTCTTTGTGGAGAGGATTCAGATCTGAAAAGGGGCGAAAGTTTCACAGACTCACAGCTCCTCTGAATATCTGAGGGGTTGTGTAATGGCAGCTGGAGGCAGAGTGACACAGCATGAAGAATGGCAGACTGACAGCAAAAACAAAGGCTGGGAACGAGCCACAATCTCCACGACTCCTACAGCCATGTTAGTGAGAACTTACAATAAAGTTCTGTAGCTTGTATTTAATTACAAACACACACATGATCTTTCTTCTCTGGGTGACATAATAAGTGTTTTTAATAGATGACGTAATGCTGCACTAAGTCTTGTGTTTCCGAGAGACATTCGGGAGACTTGCTAACACACTGATGTGTCTTTAAACTGCAGGATCGACCACGTTCATTGATTTTAATCCACAAAAAACACCAGCTCACACCTTAAAACCACCGGCAGCAGTGATACTGTATGTGCACAGGTAGGTAGGTAGGTAACACAGCCACATATATGGTATTTAAGAGCTGATTAAACTATAGCCAGCAGGAACCATCAGACCATCACAGCCAGGTAACACTACACTAGATAGACATTAACTTTAGCCAAAGTTAAAGGAGCAATTTGTAAGATATAAATCCCAAATGTTAAAAAGTTTAAAAAGTTAGTTTGCTCTTCGTCTTGCGGACAGAGTCTTGAGGCAACAGTTGGAGCTCCGGAGAGCCGAGCAGATGTTCCACCCTGTTGAGCTCCTCTGTTTGTCCTCTTGGATAAAACATGTGGACGAAAAACACGAGTCACCGCTCTGCCAGATGTTAGAGACACTCTCATGACTGTGAATAACCTCTGTACCAGCGGGTTTGGCACATTTCTTTCGTAGGAATCCACATGTTCACCGACGAGCTCTGCTGTTAAATTTTAGTCTGGAAAAAGTCCCCTGAGAATCCATAAAGCCCGACGCACACATGTGGCAGCAATTAACAAAATATGGCCTCCACAGCCTCATCATCAAGTATTTAAAGGAGGAGTTGAAGATTCAGTTTTAATCACAATTCTGTATCTGTGTGACTTTTTCTTCTTCTTCTTCTTCTCTCCTTAGATTGATTCAGAAACACAATCAGTGATAAACCTGATTTTCCAGTCTGATAACTGGTTAATTAATTGATTCGTGACACACTTTTTAAATGATATACTATTTAAACTTCAGGTTTGGGGAGAAGGTTTCAAATATTTTCAAGTCATAAAGGCTCAAGTCCAAGTGAAGTCACTGGTGTTAAAGTCTGACTAGAGTCGTTCTGATACCGATACCGTCGGATACTCTTCCGATGTTGCCTCGAGCGCTGAGTACACGTGTTTGTGCACCGATCCGACACCACGTCGTTTATGTGCTCCTGTTTGGCTCCCAGCTACTTTTACTACTACTTAAAAATAGGAAAACTCATAACCAACCAACCAACCCAATGAAGGCAACGAGTACTGGCCACAGGCGACTACTGTTTTAGGCTGATGAAGAAGAGTTGATTTCCTGACAGAGGGTTTAACCTGAGCCACACAACGACGACGGCAAGGATTAGTTTACGGCTTTACAGGTTTAGTGTAATACGCTTGTTAAGGTCCAGGTATCAGAATCGTATCGGAACAAAAGCCATCAGAGTTAACGGCCGTCCACACCAAGAACGAGAACTATACCAGGAACTATCAATATATCGTTTTAAAAGTCGTTCAAACTCAAGTGTACAACTTGTAAAACAACATATTCTACGCTGCAAATAAAGCAAAAACATGTCATTTTAATGGTCTTCAGTGCTGATGGAGTCTCTGAAGTCCTTAATGAAGACTAACTGATCTCGTCTGTGAAGAACTCAGTGAACCTGTATCCGCACATACAGCAGTAACAGCTCATAACGTGAGGTCTTTGTGTGGATGCTCATATTGTTATAGTTAATTGTTCTTGATGTGGACGGCCCTTTACAGTCAAAAGAAAAGTTCCTCCATCGCACAGCCCGACTACACAAAGAGGACCGATGACATCAGTCTGAAAAAGTACCTCAGAGTCGAGGGATCGGACTCCACCAACACTGGACTGAAGTCAGCTCATGAATCATCTGAAGTGAATGCGGCATCCAACGTCCAACCCAACCCAGTGCCTGTTATTCAGAGGAGTCTCCCGTACACACCCACCCTCCGCCCACCACACACACACACACACACACACACACACACACACACACACACACACACTGCAGACTCAGAGCGAGAGGAATGTTTTCACCATGAGAAATGGATGCACGGTGTCACCCTCCAGCCAAACGGAGGCCAGGAAAAACTGACGAGGCCGACGTTAAAGTGTGCAGACGGAGGCCACAGAGAGCCGCCGTATGAGAGCTGCAGGAGATAGAAAGCACCCAAAGGACCCTGTTAAACCCGTTAAACCCCGTTAAACCCAAGTCTGAAAGCTGGTTTCCTCCATCCTCGAACATGCATGTCATTATCCAGATACTGCGACTACCGAACACACACAAATAAACCAACATTTCCACTTCAAGCCTCACAGGACGCTCAGCACAGGATCAGTGTTTTTCACTTCCTCCATTCCCAGTTTGAACATATGATACCTTGTAACCACGGCAACAGGAGAGGGCGTGTTTTCACATGATTTACAATAATATCTAAAAGGAGACCAGATTATTCTGCGTTTTCCATCATTGTCTCCGTTCTCTGTTGTTTTTCCTCAGCTTTCTCTGACTTTTCACCTTTATTTTGTTTGTTTACAACAGTGTGCCGACCCCGGCTGTTGTTCAGGTGACCCAAGAAGCCAAAAAAACGGCCGGACAGCAGCCTCGAACCTCCACAGCTGCTTTCTGGACTCGTGTCAGACTCATCAATGAAGCGCTAGAACTCTCTGTTCGGACACAATATCAAACCTAAAACTTAAACCTGACCTAAAACGTGTGTCCAGCTGATGCCTTCAGGTGCATGAGCTTCCTCTCATATGTATAACAAACCAATCTGATGTCCGCAGCTATAAAAGGTAAAACCAGGTTCGTGTTATACTCGAATCTGTCCAAGTGGGAACCAAAAGAGACGCATGAATGTCTCCGAACAATACCAGCGCAGCCACAAGGACACAGTCACACAGAGCCTGAAAGGGACTTTTATTCCCACAGCAACTGCATTATCCATCTCTCCAGAACATAGACGGATCCATACAAGAGCTGCACTTTGAATAGGTCAGACTGCCTCCTAATAGTCGACTTAATCGTTAGTCGATGAGAGTCGTAGTCCATCAGTCTGACAGTCGCAGGAGCTTCAGCTCGGATGAAACAAATTTATAAATTAGTCAAGATAAATAATTTACATGGTCTAATTTATTTTATTTATTGTTTTACGTAAAGGTTTAATATGTCTTTTTATTTATAATGATTGAAGTGTTTATATGGAGCATTTTTATCCAGTTTGGTTGGATTATAATCTGAATATTAGGCTCCCTGTACACATGTTGTCAAGTATTTGGGAGAGATCAAAACTAAACAAACTCTGCTTACCTCAGATCAGTTACAATCTGTGTGTAAACCAAACAAACTCCTGATTCATCAAACTACAGGAACACCTTCTTCACTGATAGCAACTTCATCTGCACCTGTCTGTCATCCACACACAATGAACAGCATCTTTTGTCCTTTGTAGTATCATGGACACACCCAGCAGCAGAGGACGCACAAGACAAAAGGGGAAACAGGTCTTGGCACTCTCTCTCTCTCCCGTCTCACTTTCCTCTCCCCCCGCCCCTGGTGCACGACTGGAAAGGCAGGATTGACCTAATGAGCCATGCACATAAAAAAGACTGAGCTCGAAAACAGTGAAAACAGCATAAAACCCCCTCCTGAGTTTATCTGTCGGAGGAAGCTGGACTGAAGTCTGGGGAGAGAACCGGACAGACAGGTTTCACAGCAGACCCACATCTCTGGAAACAAGTCGAGGATTAGATTAATCAGCTGTTTTGCTTCCAGGGAAAGTGATATTTACATGAGAGGACAAGATATCAGCTCACGAATGAATGAGACACTGACTCCGAGGAGAATTCACACATTCATCTGAAGCGCAAAACGCCAGCGCGCCAACTCAACCCGACGATCAAACCCAGAGACAGGAGAGGAAGTTCCAGAGAGAATCAACACCGAGGACCCGCTGTGTGTGTGTGTGTGTGTGTGTGTGTGTGTGTGTGTGTGTGTGTGTGTGTGTGTGTGTGTGAGGCGCAGTGAGAGCGCGGTGCGTCCTCGCCGCGTCGCTCCAAACGCGCTGGTTCGTACCTTTGATGTAGTTGGATGTGGTCTCATCCAGCAGACTGGACGCGGAGATCCCCATGGTGCTGCGGCTGGGGGACAGGATCCACAGGTAGGGTTCAGTCCTCAGGTACTGACAGCGTCACATCGATCTGCGGCAGCGAGGGAGGGAGGGAGGGAGGGAGGGAGGAGCACGCCCTCTCCCTGCTCCCCCTCCTCCTCCTCCTCCTCCTGTGTCATTCAGTGACGCTCAGAAAAGCCAGCTCACTTTTAGTTTTTACCCTGAAGGCTCCTGAAGAAGAGTTGAGTCACAGCTGTAATGATCACATTAAACAATGATTCAGTTTCTTATAGTTTATTAAAATATTTAAAGCATCTACAGAAATATTCACGGAGAGTCCAGAGAGGCAGAAACTCTCATTTAAAGGACCAGTGTGAAGGATTTAGTGGCATCTAGTGGTGAAGTTGCAGACTGCATCCTTTTTGAATACAGGAAGGAGAATCTAGGGTTGCCACAAAACGCGCAAACAAAAAGTCCAGATCTAGAGTCAGTGTTTGGTTTGTCCGTTCTGGGCTACTGTAGAAACACGGTGGACTCCCTCTGGAGATTAAACTAATCTAATCTAATTCTAAGGAAACAAACACACAATGATTCTTACATTCAGGTGAGTGAACACTAATGAAAACATCCCCATGAATATTATAGTCAATAGATCCTCCTGAATCTCTCTCTCTCTCTCTCCACGTAGAAGGGAGGGTGACACAAGGGAGTTGCAACCTGCAACTACACCGCTAGATGCCACTAAATCCTAAACACTGGACCTTTAAGGCTTTTCACTTGTGGCCATCACAGATAATTAAATGAGTTTAATTTCCGAAGGTTATTTTTTAAATGAATCTAAATGAATGTGTTTGAGTGTCGGAGCAAACATCCATTACTGGCTGTAACAGCAGAGGCAGCGTACAGCGGTGGAGCAGAGACTGAAAACACATCCACAGGAATAAAACATCTCTTCTTACCCTCCAACAGCCTCGTGGTGTCGGATCTGTTCTCCATCTCCTGATAAATCCTCCACAGTGTCCGGCTCAACGGCAGCATCACCCGGCGGGACGTAATAGTGGCTACTAAACCAAGTGACATCATCGGGGCGCCCTGATGGCTCACCTGGTGCAGCTGGTGCCCCGGGTACAAAGGCTCAACAAAGAATTACAGGATATAAAAACAACAACTGAGAAATCAGCAAATTCAGACTTTCAGAAGAATTTTATTATGTTTTTATAAGAGAAGAGAAACAAAAATAGACAGTAAACCAGCTAGAAAAAGGAAATCTGAAATAAATACAGTGGATCAACTGGGCTCAGATCAGTTCAGTTTGCACATTTAATAAAAATCCACACGAGGTTTGGTTTGATTACTTTTGTTTTAGTAAAAGCGGCGAGCTGCGTTTGAGACATCAGTGCAGTCAGAACAGCAGGAACTGACGGAGGAGTGTTTGTCTCACACCGTCTTCTCCGTGCTCACACTCGTCTGAGCGGCGGCGGCGGCGTTAGCGTTGGTGTACGTGGGGACGCTGTACTTGGTGAGGACCGATTTAAACTGCTCCAGCGTGGCGTCGGTTCGGACCCCCGTCGGGTCGAAGTGAGTCCGGCTCACCCTGAAGCCGGCCTCCGTCAGGTACTGAAGGAACTTATTCAACCTGTGCAGAGAAATTCTTTTATTTTGTAAAACTTTCAACTGTTTTTAGACAGAAAAAAAAAAAAATTTTAAATTATATCAGCACATTTTTATATATCTAAATAAATGGAATAAAATTAAATATATAATGAGACATTGGAAGCATTTTTTTCTTTCTGACCAATCAATCAATAATGCAAATAATAGTTAGTTGCAGCCTTAAAGAGCCTTTTAGGTACCAGAGATGCTCACACTTATTACAGTCGACTACGATCATTCTCTTGATTAATCGATTGATTGTTTGGGCCATAAAATGTTGATCAGTGGTTCCCAAAGTGTAATATGACGTCGAGAGGACGAAATAAACCAGAAAATATTTATAAAAAACAACATTTGAGAAGCTAAAAACAGAATCTGAGAGTCCAAACTGAATTGATTACAATCAGTTGGCGATTAATTAAATGGTTGATACAGTTCTGGCGCTGCCTCCCTGGACAGTCCACTACACCCCTGAGAGAAAGAGGTCAGAGGTCACTTACTTGGGCATGTTCATGCCTCTGATGCTGTGTCTGTGGATGCTGTAGTAGAAGGGCGGATGCTCCAGGGACACGTCAGACTTCAGCTTCTTCACTACGTTCCCCGACTCGTCTCCCGTCTTCCTTTTCCCTGCAGAGAGAAACCGGAACGTTAGGCCCGAACAGAGAGCTCAACTCAGGGATTCATGTCAAACTCTGAAACTCTGCAGCAGAGTTTTTAGGGAAAAGCCTCACAGATTTGTCTCCGTTAGAGGATGAGAGAGTCAGTGTCAGTATGATGCCACACTGAGCTGTAACAGGGTGAGCTGTACTCCTGCTCTCTCTCTAGGTTTGGCTTCAGCTCGGTACCATCGACATATATAAAGATAGATGAAGTGACAGCTCACCAAACTGTCTCTATCGCCCTCTGGTGGCTGACTGCAGTACAGCTCATAAAGTCCCATGTTAGCAAGTCAAATACATTTTTCTCAAAGATGGTTTCTGTCATTTTAGGCAGTTGTTATCAGGCTGATGTTTGTTCAAGTGTTCAGTGGGAGGAAGAAGAGTCATCAGGCTTTTATATGCCGATGGCCGGTGATTGTGGTGAAACTGGATCATATTTTATAGAGAAAATGTATTCTATATGTGATAATGAACTTGGAAAGAACCTCAGTTAATTAAAGAACTTTGTATAAAACCTGTGACGGACTCACCGGACTGATCAGCGGGGCCCGACTCCTCTCCGCTCTGTAACATCTTAATAACGACTCCACACTCCACTGCAGAGAGGAAATGTTCTGTTAACACGGGTTTCATCTCAGATTTATGGAAAATAAAACACATAAGATAAAAACTGAGCCTTGATAATGAAACATAATCATTAAATAAAGTCTTAATTATGACAGAAAGTTACATTTATCATACAAAAAGTCAAAATTATCAATAAAAAGCAAAAATGATGAGATAAAATAATTATGATTAATAAAATGATAAAATATTGTAAAAACTTGAAAATAAAAGTTCATGTTAAGTTGAAAATGATGAGAGAAAGTTGTAATTAGGACATAAATATAAAATAATTAGGTTGGACTTTACCCTGGTTGGTGAGAGCGGACGGTCCGTGGACTAAAGACTTGAGCGTGGTGCAGTCGGACTCGCAAATGAGAGTTTTGACGAGCGGCTGGATGTCGTCCATACTGTGCTGCACCGCCGCCGACAGCATCCTCCTCAGGAAGCCCGTGTTAAACAGCGGGCCACACCTGCACACACACACACACACACACACACACACACACACACACACACACACACACACACCTTAGGACCTTCACTGACACGCATTCAGCATAGTACATGCAGTATTTTCACACACACACAGTACCTGTGAGGATTCCTTCACTGACATGCATTACAGGGCGTTTGTCTGCAGAAACACACACACACACACACACACACACACACACACAAAAAAAAAAAATAGTAGATGCAGTCTGTCTGCCTCTAAGTGAGGCAAGACTGTGTCATTTTGTCCTTAATAATGAATGTGTTAATGTGTGATTGGTGAGTTTAACACAGAACCTCCTGTACGGCCGACGGCTGCAGCCGATAACTGTGATTCCTTCCGTCGGCACAGTGTATTTCTTCCATCTGGGCGGACAGTTTAAAGTGCCAGGGTGTCTTGCAGGATAATCAGCCAGTGTCAGTAATCCATACACACATTGTAAGAAATCTGACCAATAGTCAATTATCATACTTTACTGTCTCTTATTGATTATAGATTATTGATTGAATTCCAACTACATATAGAACATGTAAGCTCTGAGAGTCATTACGACACTGTTTATTGATTATAGATTATTGATTGAATCAACTACATATAGAACAGAGCTCTAGAGTTTATACACTGTTTATTGATTATAGATTATTGATTGAATCGGCTACATACAGAACAGAGCTCTAGAGTTTATCATATAGTTTAGAATATTGTCAGTGAACGAGGCCAAAACCAAACATCTCATCTGGTTTGCTTCCCGTTCATCAACATGAACGACAGCAGCAGCAGCGGAGACATTCAGACTCACCGTCCACCATGTTTCCTTGTTTGAGGAAGACTCTCTCCTCACACCACTGACAGTGGACCAGTTTGCGTAACTTCTTCGCCGACTCATCCGCCTGCGTGGGACCTCTGAGGACTCTCACCACCACCAGGACGAAATGCTCCAACGCCACCGCCAGCAGCACCTCGATGCCTTTGTTACAGCGCGCCGCCGCTCTGCAACAGACGGCGAGAAATCAGGATTCAGCTCGGAAACGCCTTAATATCCGATCAGGAACCAAAAATAAATAAATAACCCATCTGACCTGGCCACAGTGGCGACCACCATGCGCGCAGCCAGCTCTTTGTAGTACTCGGTGCGTACGATGTTACAGCCGTAGTGACGCAGGGTGACGTTGGGAGACTTGGAGTACAGCGAGCCCGTGTCTGTGGACGTCACAGAGATGATGCCCAGGTTCCGGACGTTCCTGAAGGCAGCGTCCAGGTAGTTCACCGCCGTCCCGTACGGGTCCAAGTGACTGGAAGAGGCGAGAGTAAATCAGAACCACGGAAGCCATTTAGTGCCCGTTAAAAAATAACTTTTAAACTAATTTAAACTACAAATGTAATAATAACAGTCACATGTTTTATTAATAATATATATATTAAAAATGTATCTCAGTCTGTCTGAGGTTTACTTACATGTAATCGAAGGGCCGCAGGTGCATGATGACGTTGGCGTCCATCTTGGCGACCTCCACCGTAGCGATGGGCGCTCCCTTCACTTCACTGCCGGCCACGGCGTCGGGCCCCCGGGGGACTCGCGAGCCGCCGTCCACCCGGATGTGGTTGAGCTCGCAGTTCTCTTTGATCATCTTGACGCACGTGTCGCTGATGTCGGTGATGGTGACTTTGACGGCGTTGCGAAGGTGCTTCGCCCACTGGAGGCCCATAATCCCTGAGAGACAGACAGGAAACGTACAGCAGACGGGAGACGGGAGGATTAACGCTGCAGTGTTTCCTCCTTCTTCTTCGACTGAGAATAAACAGACTTCAAGACTTTTTAAAAGGTTATATGAGCTGAGACGTTACTATATCAGCTAACATTATATTCTCTATACACAGAGTCACATGGTGTCTCTCTCCCTCTGCCTGTGTTGTATCGCAGCCTCTCTGTGGTTTGTTTCCATAGCCGGTCTGCTCCGACTGAAACTGCTGTTTTTATCATCTACGTCGGTGAATTAAGGATTTATTTCCACCAAACCAGAGTTGGTGATTGTTGGAAACACTAACAGAGACGGTTTAATCAGTTTTATTCCACTTTGAATGAAGTTACGATGTTATAATGATCTGTAAATTAAGTAAAATTTGCGTTTTTGTGTTTGGACTCTGGTGGCGAGCGATAGTGAAAAGTGGAAGAACATCAGATAAAATGTTTGACTCATTTAATTATAAAGCACATGAAGAAACCTGGTTTGTTAAACTTTTTTTTTCCGATAAATCTTTTTTTGTTCTTCTAAAACACATTTAAGTGATCTATAAACAGTTTCATTAAACAACATATTTTGCTGCATGCTGTTTCATTACTGTCTCACCTGTAGCTCCAAAAGCATCCAGACACTCGAGCGGGTTCCTCTCCTCGGCCAGAACAGCCAGCGAGCAGAACACCAGCTGCCTGAAACACACAAACTAATTCTGCTCAAACTGACGTTCATAATGATTTTTATTGTAAAGTGAAAATCTGGACACATATTTTATTTTGTAAGAACTCGTCTCGTGTGAGCGCCGACCTGTTGGTCTTCATCTTGCGGTTGAAGTAGGTGTCGCTCTTCTGCGGGGTGGTGTGGTTCGGGAGGAGCTGGACGTTGGTTCCGAGCTCTTTCATGATTTCATACGCCTGACCAGACGGAGCTGCGGACGCATTGAACACATTCAAATCTCAAAGTGTCATCTGGAGGCTACAAATCTACGGAGCTCCCTTAGGGGACATGGGTGGGGAGAAAATGGCGAATATCGGCAGGAGCAGCCCCCTCGATGATCTCATGTGATCCAGCTGTGGCCTCGCAGACGCTACAAATCACGCTCATTAACATTATTTGTTGGAGGCGAAGGCATAAAAACAATCCTAAACATGCCAACTTGTACACAAAAGACTGTAATTAGCTGTAAAACTACACAAAATGCTGCTTATTAAAGATTCTTATAGTAAGTATTTTGGCAGATTACTTCACTCAATACAAGAAAATGTGATTATATTTAAGGATATTTGTTTTGGGAGTTTAACCCAAACAAGGGACTTAAACTCTGGAAATATCCAGACCATCCTTATACATATACATATCATATGTACTCATATACATCGAGTGTTTATTACCCGGCTCCTCAAATGTGACGTCGGAGCTGCCGGAGTAGCTGGCTTCAGTCTCTCCTTTGTTGACGTGTCGTTTCAGGTGGCTGATCATGTCCGTCTTACGGGCGATGGTGACAGAACACACGACGCAGTGGTAGTGAGCCACGTGTCTGCCCGATGCCTGCAGGGGGGTCGTACAAAGACATATCAGTGCCTGGAGGTACTTCAGTCTCATGATGTGGCAGGAGTAAAGAAAGTGTACAAAACATGTATCGCACAGGGACATTTCCAGACTCTTTTGACTGGGGGGCACTGACTCATGAAGTGGTGGCAGGAAGTCTGTGTCTCAGCCTTCCAGTCATTCCCAATTAATGCGATTCCAACACTGTTTATGTCCAAAATCCACTTAGAAAGTCTCAATATTGGCCACCATTATCAGTAATCTGTGAATGTTTCCCTCTAACATCAATATCTGTTCTCAAAAGTCCCATATCAGTCGGGCTGAAGCCACAACGTTCGGTCTGTGTGTCTCACCTGGTCTCCACTGAGGCTGGGCTTCAGGTTTCTGCAGGGCAGGTGGCAGATGCACATCCTCTGGCCTGTGAAAGGACAACCGGATATGATGAGTGCCTTCACTTTCAGCCTGATTCACTGAGACCAAGAAATCAGCAGAATATATACGTTTGCAGCTCTGGAAATCATCATTTATAGCTTTCTCTATTATCATATCTGGCTATAAGTATGTCGTCTCTCCTGTCCATGCACTGCAAGGCTGTTCTCATGGTCTGGCCCCCAAAGCTAACCCACTACATCTACTCTAAAATCTATGAAAATGGCAACAATGTCCAAAGTTAGGTGTTAAAAAGCAAAATGAATTCAATTTACAACACTGTAAAAGAAGCATTTTTAAAGTTATAACCAATAAATCTTTTAATATTTTTACTTTATAAGAGACTTTAACAATGAAGTGCTTATAAAAATCCTTATTTCGGTCCATCCATTGGCTGACAGTGTTTTCTGGATGCCAGAGAAATTCATATATGGGTTCTTTTTTAACCCATTTTCAAATCTGGACATTTGTTATGAATTTTGTCCACGTTTCTTTGAGTCGGAGTGAATCCCTGCAGCAGGTTCATAATCTGGTGGAAAGACTGAAACCAGACGAGTGTTTCTACCTTCAAACTCCACGTAGACTTTCCAGTGGAGGTTCTGCAGGTGTCGGCGGAGCTTGTGGCTGTAGCACGCTTTGAACTTCTCCTCGGGACACAGGGGACACGACTTGCGTCCCGCTGAGGAGTCAAAAACACACAAACATTATTCTCAGTGTCAAAAGGTTTTATATGTATACATATATATATATATATATATATATATATATTATATATATATATAAAAATGTATATATATATATATATAGATATAAGATATAAACCTTAACAGTTTAGAAACACTAACAGAGACGGTTTAATGAGTTTTATTCTGTTTCTGTCCACTTTGAATGAAGTTACGATGATCTGAAGGTAAAATGGTAAAATTTCTGTCTCTGGAGTCTGGTGACTGGAACAAGTTTAATTTGATTTTTACTGAATTAAACATAAGAAAAGCAACTATTGTGCAAGTTTCACTTTCCCCTGAAAAAAAAAATGCTGCTGTGAAATCAGGAATAGTAGACCAGAACCAAAAAGGCAGTGAAATCCTAAATGAGACAGAAGAAAGTGATGAAGATGTACAGAAGAACTTACCACCATTGAGGTCAACGAGCATCTCGAGGCCCTCCAGTTTAGTCTGGATGGAGACGTGTCTCTCTGGTTGTAGAAAAGGAGAACTATTTGTGAAGTCATAAAGCGTTTCCTGTCGTTAAAGTCTGTGAGTGCAGATGTACGAAGCTGATCGGTACACAGCTGTTATGTAATCACCAATAGTCGTGGTCGAGGGTTTGGCATCGCTGTCTGCAGCAGCTTCGTCCTTCGCCGCCTGTTCTGCAGCCGGGTCACCAGCCGAAGGGGAATCTGCACCATCTCCACCTTCAGGGAGGAAACGTGGTTCAGTAAAAGGACGATTATCAGCAGGATTATAATTTTAAAATACAGAACAATATACAATATACTGTAATTGTCTCACAGAACAACGACCAAGGAGAAAGAAAACACTGAATTTGTTATAAAAGAAGCATATTAAGTCTGTGTGATTGTTAAAAATACAGAATACAGACAGAGGATTATATAAAAAGGAAATATTCACTGTTTGTATTCATTGTACAGTTTTGAATTGAATATGAAATATCCATAAAATATGTCAGTTACTTTACTAAATGATAGAAAAGTAAATATAAACATATAAATACTTAAATACACCGAGCTGAGGACGCTTTATTGTACTTTCCATTTTCTTTCTAATCTTACTTTCTTGTGTTGTCCTAAAATAATAAAAGTAATCTCATTGATATTTGGTGTTGAGGTGATCAGAAAGTAACGTTAATAAAGTAGAGCTGAACAATTAATCCAGATGTGATAGAAATCGCAGTTCAATAGGAAACTCTCAGATTTAAAGGTGAAATGTGACAAACAGCATTTTAATAAAGTACTCGAGTACAAACTTTGTTCTCCAGATGTTAGAAAAGATGTTTTTTCCCTGACAATAATAATTCTCACACTAATAGTGAATCATATCTCGATGTATAATTATTTATTTTATTGACCATATGGAACAGCTTTATAATAAAGTTAACACTGTCATATTGGGATTAGGTCACTACATTAAACAGATCATAAGTAACTGTATCTGATTACTTTTTACTGAATATTTCCCTCTGAAATGTAATGGAGTAAAAGTACAAAGTATCCTAATACTGCAGTAACTGTACTTAGTTACTTTCCACCACTGGTTACGGGCTCGTTGTTCTCACAGTGCTAACATGCTATGGACCGTTAACCGACCGTTAACCGACCGTTAGTGAACAGACCGTTGGTGTCTGTGGTCCTGTCGTGCAGCTCCGTGATGAGACCGTGTCTCCAGAACCTGTAACTTGGTACCGACCGTAATGTAACGCGGTGATAACGATAATGTGGAGAGCTACACCGCTGCAGGTGAATGCGAACGGCAGCTTCTTGCTTTACTCGCTGTTGTTGTTGTTGACTGTTTAGGTCCTATGGCGGAGCTCCGTGGTGAGGCCCTGGTTTTAGTTGAGCAGTTACAAACTCAAATTCTCCGTGAATTCACCGCACAGCGCCGACGGGAGCTGGACGACGGTTTATTCTTCACTTCACCGACACAAAGTCAGCGTTACATCGACCAACGGGCGCCGTTTACTTACGTTTGATATCGACGTCCTCCTGGTGTAGCTGAGCAGCGTCTGCCTCTTTCAGCTCCGCCATTACAACTACAGCAACATACGCAGGAAATGTTCCGTCGTACGTAACTTACGTAAACTGCGTAGTGTTAAAACGTAAGAGGTCGTAAATGTTATCGGCCTGAACTTTAATTCTTCAGCCAGAAACCCAATGTATGTCATTACAATCAGACTATTGATTATTGATTATTGGGAGGTATTACGTTTAAATATTAAAAAAAATCTTATTATTTTGAGATATTAAGTGTAAATATTTAAAAGTTTCTTATTATTTTGAGATATTAAGTGTAAATATTTAAAAGTTTCTTATTATTTTGAGATATTAAGTGTAAATATTTGAAAGTTTCTTATTATTTTGAGATATTAAGTGTAAATATTTAAACGTTTCTTATTATTTTGAGATATTAAGTGTAAATATTTAAAAGTTTCTTATTATTTTGAGATATTAAGTGTAAATATTTGAACGTTTCTTATTATTTTGAGATATTAAGTGTAAATATTTAAATGTTTTTTATTATTTTGAGATATTAAGGGTAAATATTTGAAAGTTTCTTATTATTTTGAGATATTAAGTGTAAATATTTAAAAGTTTCTTATTATTTTGAGATATTAAGGGTAAATATTTGAAAGTTTCTTATTATTTTGAGATATTAAGTGTAAATATTTAAAAGTTTCTTATTATTTTGAGATATTAGGTGTAAATATTTGAAAGTTTCTTATTATTTTGAGATATTAGGTGTAAATATTTGAAAGTTTCTTATTATTTTGAGATATTAGGTGTAAATATTTAAACGTTTCTTATTATTTTGAGATATTAAGTGTAAATATTTAAACGTTTCTTATTATTTTTGAGATATTAGGTGAAAATATTGATAAGTTGAAGTTTCTCATTATAATGACTAACACAATCTTTTTTTCCATCACATTGGCTGACTTGATCTTCCATACACAGTTTAGGTCCCCAGCAATTAGAAACTGCCAGATGCTAACTTGCATATATTGGACAATTAGCATAATTAGGATCAATAAATCACCTATATGGACACTTGAGTAACTGCTGGCTGATTGGGACGATACAGGAGCAGTGTCCATTTATTGTTTAATATTTTGCACCTGCATGTTCTGTTTGTAAGAACTCAATGATTATATTGATTGAAATACTCAATGTATGTATTGTGTTTTTCTTCATGTATTTTTGTACACATTGTTTTTATTGCTATTGACCTTGTTCCTTGTGTCATTAATAAAGCCATTATTATTATTATTATTATTATTATTATTATTACACAGTGCCCCTGTGACTCAAACATCCTCTGTATCTGAAAATTATTTATTTTCATTGTTGAAACTCACTTTGTTTAAAACACTTTCTTTTCATCACTAAAAACACATCAATGCATACTGGATATATACACACACACATATATATATATATATATATATATATATATATATATATGTGTATATATGTATATATATACACATATAATATATATTATATATATAAAACTAACATATAATAAATATATAGACATTTATTCCTGCATCTTTTAAACACAAATGTTATTATTGTTGTTAAGTTTGTTGTTGTTTATTTATGCTTACTGAGAGAAAGAGGATCCAATTCCTTGCTTGTGTGCACAAATGTGTGAAGGAGAGATATCGTAGGTCCTTCCTGCTGCTGGCAGACTGTATAACAACCAGCACTGCTCCCAGTAGACCACCCCCCCCCCCCCGACAGTATTTCTGTCTATCTATCTATCTATCTATCTAACTGTGTGTGACATAATGCTTCCTAATATTTCCACTACCCATAAAATCATATCAGAGCAACAAGAAGGAAACTGTTTCTAACTTTAAATCACCTCAACAGAACATTTAAGGATACAGTTTGTATGTTTCTTGTTGGTGTCAGACGACCTGTGGCTGTGAGTTTCCATTCCTGGGAAACGAAAGTCAGACGCCTTAATACGCGTCGCTTTATTCGCGCGAATCATGTTCGCTCCGCCCAGAACTCACCAGGAAAACGTTTTCCGGTAATTTTCTCCCACATTCTCCCCCCTTTTCGTCTCTCCTCTGTTAACGTCCAAGGAGAGGAGCTTCTACAGCTGTTTAACTTCGCCTCAATCCGCCTGCGCTGCGGCGAACTCGCGTCTGTTCGCTCCGCCCGTGAAGTTCGCTTCGACTTCAGTGTAATGATGGGAAATCCGGCTCTTTTTAGTGATCCGAATCATTTGGCTCAGCTCAGTATGAGTCAGCTCTATATTTACTCCAGCCTGATATAGCAATAAACTGGCCTATGATCGGTATAAGTGCACATACATCACCTAAATGATTAAATTTCATGATATTAAACCATAATCCAGAATATTATAATTTTACGTGAAGTTTGGTATGAAAACATTTAATAATGTAAAAACATCAAACACTTTTATACATGTATTGAACGTTTTTTTAAAATATATTATTAAATACTGAATTACATGTTGTATATAAAAGTATAAGAAAAATATCATATATTCATATATTATTAATAATTTATTACCAAAATGAAATGTTTCTGCATTTTATTTAACAAATATGATACAGAATCATCCTCTTATTCTGAATGTATACATTTATTTGAATAAAGAAAGAAAGAAAGAACACAACTGGCTCTCAGACGAGCTCCCTTTGTTCACACACAGGAGTCGACTCAAAGAGCGGACTCGTCCACAGACGACCCATCGATACTTCAGTGTAAACATTTGCTGCTGCGCAATAACGTCACATCACTGGACAGAAGTTGGACCTCACTGAACCAAATTCAACCTGATATTCAGAGAGAGTGGAGCTGACAGCTGAAGGATGAGGTGAGTTTATAGCTGCTGGACAGCATTTCACATTATTTAGTGAATAATGAGAATTATTAGACGGTATTTAATGATCCTACAAGTCAATGAGAATGTTTCCAACCTGCTCTGTCCTTCATTACTTTCTCCTTTGTCTGTCTTACTCTGAACACTTTCTCCCACAAAGCAAGTGTATAAATACTAAAGTAACCTTTTGTCTTGCAAATATCATCACGTGTCACACATTTCAGTATTTGGCCATATTGTGCATACTATCTACGGACCGAGCCATCGACCGCTAGAGTTCCCTATTGTATTTGCTAGAATTCTTATTCTTACCTATTATTATTTTTAGCCCCTTCGACTGCATTTTTGACCCCCTGAACATATACGGAAAGTAAATTTTATTTGGCAAAGTGGTTGGGCACTAGGAAGGCCACTAGGTGGCGCTACTTGAGGAAAGTTCATTTCGCTAATAACTCCCACATCGTTCGTCGCACATTAAAAAACCTTATATCCACGCGTTCAGTGAATGGAGCTGAATCTCCTCATATAGGCCATGCCCATTTTTCTGTATGCCTATAATTTGTTTTTCTAGAGCGCGAAATGTCCATGAACTACTTTTTCATGTTCCTCCTATGTGCTTTGTCCTATTTGCACAAAATGTTTCACGTAGCATCTGGGGACGGTCCTGGCAAAAAAAGTAATTTAAAGAATTTTGATATTTCAAAAAATTAGCACTTTATAAAATTAGCACTTCCTGTAGATTTTTCGTCAAAACAGGAAGTGGAGCATTTCTCCACATTGGTATGTCCGATAGACACCAAACTTCCGATAGACACCAAACTTCAATAGTTCCTCATATCTTCCTTAGGCACTGTGCACAATTTCAGGCCATCGCCACAAGGTGAAGCTCTTTAAAACTAAGAAGTTTATATCTCCGCATCGGCACGTGTGATTAAAATGGAACTTACGATACTTGCCCACGGCTCCCTGAGGCTCCCTAAAAAATGTGTCAACAAATCTTGTTTGTTGTGTTTGTAGCGCCCCCTGCAGGATTTCAACAAAGCAGCCCTGGCGCCACGTTTCACCGATATGTATGAAACTCGGTAGGCACGTGTAACGTGCCGTGACATACAGAAAAAGCCTCTTGGACCCATACCCCAAAGCACACAGTCGGCAATTGATTTTGATTTTCACTTTTGGTGACTTTTTCGCCTTGTATTTGAACGAACTCCTCCTAGGGAATTTATTGGATCTACTTCAAAATTGGTCAGTACAGTCAAAAAATGTTGCTGATTAAAATTTGTGCAATTTGTGAAGGGCGTGTCTGTCAAAGTTGGCCAATTTGAATTGATCACTGCAATCTAGACATATTGGCGATCAAAGTCAATCAAATATTTACTGTGCATCAAACGGCGTGTCCGTGGCGTGGCACTAAATTTCCACAATTCGCAGTGAAGAGTCTTGCTATGAACGCATAAGTCTTTTGCACAGTGTCTGAAATGCGTGACAATGTAGAGCGGTCTCCCTCAGCTTCCGGTGATGAGGGCTTGGGCGTGGGGTGACGTGGCATGGCATGGCCCCGACGTAGGTTGATGGCGAAGTCCTGCCCGATGCTGCTTGCAGCTTTAATTTTATCTTTATATTTCTCTATGTTTTATTGTTAAACTTGTTAAAATGTATCAAGGTCGATTTCTTTTGTTTCTGATTCTGATTCTGTAAAAGTGTTAACATTAAAATATACTCAAATGACCAAAAGTAAAAGTACTCACCATGAAGAAAGTCCCATTTCAGAACCTTTACTATTAAATATTACTGGATTTTAGTCTTTTTGATGCATTAATATGTTGCAGCAACTGAAACTTTACTGAGTACTGGTGTTAGATATTTAGCCCCTTTCGGACCACTTCAGTTTTCCACTGATAAAAAAAAGTGTTTTCTGGCCTTTACAACTCTAGCTAGACGTTTTAACATCTTATTCAGGTGGAAGCATCCATGAACTCTGAACTCTGATATCTGAGCAGATTATTTCCTGTTTAGGGAACTTTTTATACAATTATCTGTCTGTATTATGTATTTTTTATTTTTTATAGGTTTAATAGGCTTCTTTTTTGACAAATTCAGTGTTTTCTTGTCCCTGGCCAATGTTCATTTACTTTTCTTAAGTGAATTAAATGCTGAGATATCGATCTACTGTACATATCTTTCAAGTTTTAAAGCACGCCTTAAAATCAAGAAGGACTTGATAAACAGCCTCGTCCTCCAACAACCAACAAATACAAGAAAGAGAAAGAGAAAGAGAAAAATCAGTTAAGGGAACCACTGTCCAACATAATGACACTGTTTACTGTCCACAAATCATCAAAAGATAGTTCATTATGTTTTGTATTAATAATCCTACTCTGCAAAGTAACTTGTAACTATCCAATAAATGTAGTGGAGTGAAAAGTACAATATTTGCCTCTGAAGTGGTATAGAGTAGAAATATAAAGTAGATAGGAGAAAGAAAAAACATTTTTTATTGTGTGTTTGTTACCTTCAAATGAGCTGTTTGTATCTACAGATATACTTCATGAAACATATCACACTCGTAGTATCAGTTAGAATAATTGCAATATAAGTTTCTTTCAACTTTATGGTGCAATCTGCAACCGCTGTCACGACTGTCAAGCTGGGTAACTTAAACAAAGAGAACTGAACCCAAATGAAGAAGCTGGTGCAGTTCAGATGATTTAATAAGTAAGAAAAGTCTATGAACAAAAGCGTGAGGCAAAGGCAGTCCAAACAAAATAAAAAAGCAGGCAGAAGATCCAAGAACTCCTAAAAACATGAAATGAACAGTGGTTATCCAAACATAGCACTCACTTGTATGAACCTACTGATGATGTGTTTTAATATTTGTTATTTTTATCTTCCATCAGTGCTGCTCAGAGTCAAACACTGGAGTCCAAACTGAAGGCCCTGCAGTGCCACTTCACCTGGGACCTGAATCCAGGCAGGTCCAAACTTTTACGTCTCAGAGACAAGCTGGAGGACATTGGCACCGAGGAGGGAAACAGCTGGCTGGGTCACGTTTACAACCTGCGGGGGTACATTCAGTACAAGCTGGGGTTCACTGAAGACTCCCAGAGTTTGTTCAACCAGGCTACAGAGGCCCTCCGCAAGAGCAGAGGAGCAGAAGAGGGTCCCTGGTTAGTGGTGAACTACGGGAACCTGGCTTGGCTGCACCACCACCTGGGAGAACAAGAAGAGAGTCAGGATTACCTGTCAAAGGTCGACTCCCTGATGAAAAAATATCCATCTCCATCCCAGGACGAGCTCCATCCAGAGATCTACGCAGAAAAAGCCTGGACCCTGATGAATTTCAGCATAGACCAAAAGCTGCAGGCTGCAGATTACTTTGAGAGAGCCATCAGGATGCAGCCAGACATGGTGGAGTGGAAAAGCAGCCGTGTCTTAGCATTTGTGAGTGCCTTTAAGCACAGCGACACAGGGCTGGAGGCTGATATCTTGGAGGAAATGAGAATCGCCAAAGAACAGGATCCAGAGAACTTGTATCTCGCTGTTAAATACCTTGAACAACGTGGTAAGACAGGAGAAAGTATTGAAGATGAAGCACGTGAGTTAGGCAGACAGGTTTTGAGAAACCCTGTCGGCAGCTACAGCGGTATGAAAGCAGTACTAAGGGTTTACAAAAACGATGTATCTGTAGATGAGGCCATTGAATTGGCAGAGGAGGCTCTGGAAAAACATCCAGATGTACGTTATCTGAAGAGATGTGTTGCACTCTGCTACAAATGGAAGATCATTTTTTCCTGGGATAGTCGCCCAAATCAAAGCATGATAGAGAAAGCAATCAGTCTCCTTAAGGAGGTGATTTCTCTTTACCCTCAGTCTTCTCTTGTGAAGAAAATAGACCTCGCAAATATATACGCAAAGTCACGTCACGGCCAGGCTCAAGCTGAGCAGATATACCAAGAACTGCTAGAACGTGATCTGGAACCTGCAGACAAACAGATGATTTACCATTACTACGCAAAGTATTTAAACTTTGATCGACAGGATCGCAACAGGTCAATAAAATATCACATGAAGGCGGCAGAGATACCGCAACAATCCTTCTTTCGTAAGAACAGCATCAAAGTCCTGGAGAAGATTAAAGGCAGAAGCAGGAACCGAATGTCTAGAGAAATAGAGGAGTTCCTGTCAAACCTGCAAGAGCCATAGTGTTTTTAACAGCACTGGTTTAAATGCAGAACACCAGTAGGTGATGCATTAACTAAAGAAAGCTGTATATTAATTTGATTACGTCCACAATTGGAAAATGTAGAATTTTGGACCGATTTAGGGCAGATTGACTTCTGTTGAAACAAACTGATTTGTTAATTAACACGATCAGACTTCAAATTGATCAGGACACAAAATCACATAAACTGTTGGAGAAACATGCAGATTGCTTATTAACACAATGTTTGGTGATGCTACTTGCTTGCCAGTGTTACCATCCACTGTGGATGATGTCATTCAGTTAATTACATGTTTTTGATCAGATGTTCTTTTTTTTAACCCTTGTAATCAAAGTGTTTCCTTTATTCCTGTTGTGTTGATTTACTATATTTTAAAGTTAATATGAGAGTATAATACAGGGTCCTTATGTTCCCAGGGTTCAGGTTAGGGCTGGGTTTCCCAAACCTTTTCCATGTCAGGGACCCCCACAATAGATTCACATTAGACCACAGACCCCCAATTTGACAAGATTTTGTCTTTTGCTTCACTTTTAGGTTTGAATATAATAAAGCCTCCATAAACTAGGATCACTTTAAATTACAATCAATAAAAACATCCAGTCGTATGTCTTCCCTCGCTGTTCCAACTTCCAGAAAATGTCATAAAACTTCAAATCTAATATTCTTCCTTCTGCTGGGGACCCCCCTGCAACTCACTCCAGGACCCCTGTTGGTCCCTGGACACCAGTTTGAAAACCACTGGCTTAGAGGACTACAAATACCAAAAGGCATCTGGAAAGCTCTGATTCAAGCCTCCTTCTCAATGTCAGCACACTGACACATGTAGAAGGTCTATAGGGGAAAGTACAAGTAAATGGAGGCAAACTGAACAATAAAATGAAAACAAATCATGAGTAAACCAGAGAAACATTTGTTAAAGACATTAATAGAGTTAAAGAAATGTCAGCCACGATGACTCAAGTGGTTCATTTGGCTTCATCTAGTGACCAATATATCTAAATACATCTATATTCTCAGGGTGAGGGAGGCTTTTGACCGCAGTACGAGGGTTAATGTGTGTTAACAGAATAATAAACTGAGGAACTGAGGACCCTGTGAACATAGATATACTCCCAATAATACTCTGTATATGACATTTGCTTTGCTGTAAGCTTTGGAGCTGTGGGAAATCAAACTCTCTGGTGGATGATGTAATAGTTCAATTGATGTATAACCTGAATATTATCTCCACATGCAACTGATTGTATTCATAAAAAGTATGTTAAGCATGTGTCTCAGTTGTATACAATACTAATTCTATTAAATATGCATTTTGTACACGCAGAAATCGTCTTTAAGTGGTTTGTTTTGGTGGTTACTATACGAGACATTCATATGGTTACACAGTTGTGCAGTCCTGCCCAGTAACCACACCCTGGTATGTGGGAAGGTGAGCCACCCCAAAATAATGTAACCCATGTTTTGTGCTGGCTGGAAATGTGACAGAAATACCAGAAGTTTTCATTCATGGCAAACAAAAGCCAAGGCTAACATGCCTTTACTTTCATTTCCCAGAAAAGGAAACTTAAAATGCTCAGAACTCACTGGAGTATCGGGGTAGGCCTGCCGCTGAAAGTGGGGCATTGGGGTGGATAGTACTCCCATCATGTGCCCTTTACGCTTCCCTCAACCCAAAATACAGTTTTAAGTAAAAGGATTTATATAAAGATGATGACTTCTGTAGTTATATGGAGTTATCCACTGAGCTGACCCACCTATTCTGCTACTTCCAGGTCAGACATTGTGCAGTTTGTCTTACAAGGGTCTCCCTGGTAGCTCACCTGGTAGATACCCCATCTACCAAGAGTCCTTGTTGCAGGGTCCAACCTGTGGCCCTTTGCTGTGTATCATCCCCCCTCTTTCCTGTTTATCTTGAGCTGTCCTGTCAATTAAAGGCAAAAAGGCCCCAAAACACATATTGAAAACAAAAGAAAGCTGTGATTAAACAGAATTCTGATGGTAATGTTGGTGTGGTGTTATTGGCTCAATTACAAAAGCACTACATGCATTAATTAAAGTAACTATTATAAGTCTTGCATTGGGATCACAATGCAACAACTTCTAAAAATAAATTAACTTCATTAACCCCTCCCTGAATTCCATCAAACAATATACCCTATTATGTAGTATAAGTTCCTGCAAATGTCCCGCCTCTGAAAGTCTTTTTGATGTCATTATGAACATTTCATGTTCTACTGGTTCAGCAACATCACAGTATTTAAAGCAAAGCAGCTATTAGACATCACTGACATTGTGGCAGCCAACGCAGCATCGAGAGCAATAATCAGCCTAACGAACTAATATCTACCTACTGAGTGGAGGAAACAGATAAATGATGAGGTGAGTGGCTGCTTCTGCATTTCATATTGTAAAAGTTAATAAAGAGTAACATTATGATTCATTTAATGTTTTATTATTGAGTCCAAAATATTAATATTAAGGATCCTACAAGTCAATGACGATGTTTTCATTCCCTACTTTCTTTCTTTTTTCTTACTTTTTTTATTGTGCCTTGCATAAGCAAGCACAATACTACTCTTCCTCGGGCTTAATATTATTATTCTTCTTCCGTACGTTTTTCGGCGCGCTTCTTCTCCCGCAGCTTTTGTCGCACATACACAAAAAAGGTATCAAAACGTGCGGCTCGATGAGGACATTAGTGCTATGACTTTTCTAAGAATTTCGCCAAACGGTTTGCCGATAAATCGCCAAAAACTGGTCCAAAAAATGAATGGGTGTGTATTGCGAGAACCTCCAACTGAAAAAAACTGCCAGAGTGCGTGACATCATCGCTAGAGTGTGGGGAGAGAGAAAAATTTGTCGAAAAATTAATTTGTAAACTGCTGTCATGGCCACAAATTTCACTCTACAGAAATAATTTATAGATAGAAACGTAGGTAAATTCGTTGGGGTCGCAGTGATACTACTGCTGAAGCTGTCAGACTAATAGTTTTGGCGGGAAACGCACTGATGCGCCAGCAACGCCCTCTCACGGCCCCATCTACTCCCATGTTAAAATGTAGAGGAGAAACTTGAAACACGCTCGTTGAACCTCTTCTCTCTCAATCTCCCCAGGTCACATTTTTTAACTTTAGCCACTGAAACTCGGCAGTGCTATAGTCAACAAGTTGACGACGCTCACGGTCTTTTCGGTTTTCATTTCGGTCGTTCCTGGCCATGCTTTTGAGGGGATTCATTTTAAATGTTTCTGTCTCTCTGAGGAGTTAGAGACAGAGAGAGAGCGTGCGCAGCTGCTGTGGGCTCCTCTGATTGCCATGACAACTAAAGCCTGCTCACACACACACACACACACACACACACATAGCTAGCTTCAGAGGAGCATTTAAGCTATTAATAAGCTAGCGCTAGCTGGCTAGCTAAAGATAATTAGCAGGTGGCTAACAAGCAAACAATTTAAAGCTGAATGATTTTAATATTAACACAAAATAAGTTCAATACACCTTAAATATTTTACCCTACTATGAGCTGTTCCTTAATTTACATTAGCACTCCTTCAGGAGCATAATACAATTAAACACATTAACCAAAGCTAGCACTTAGCTAGCGATTAGCAGTTAGCTAGCGATTAGCAGTTAGCTAGCGATTAGCACGTAGCTAAGCGCTAGCTCTGGTTAATGTGTTTATGTTTGCTAGCTCTAGCTAGCTACCTAAAGAGAATTAGAGGGTATTAAAATGCTAGCAAAAGAATTAGAAGATAGAAGAAGGTTTTAGAAGGCTAGCTAATTAATTAAAATGCTCTGCTTGCTAGAGAGGACAAGCTACTAATGTTCTAGCGCAAGCTAGCTAGACAGAACAAGGTATGAATGTGCTAGCACTCGCTAGCTAGAGAGGACAAAGGATTACTGTGCTAATTAAACGTCACAAAAGACACTGAAATTCTTAATTAGCATCTATTTCAACTTGTTACACCTGACACAAGTTATACAGATTTACTAATGTAATAAAACATCAAGTTAGATTTATTTTGTGAGGAAGAAGACACTCAGACTGTTGTAACTGCCTATGACTGCACAGTAAGAATAGTTTTCTTTCTTAATTATGTATTATTTATTAATATAAATATTGTTATTCATGTTATTGATAGCATTACTTATTATTGTTATTATTATTATTACTATTATTATCATTATTATTATTATAACTACATACTTATTATTCCCACCATTGTGGTTATTACTTATTTAGTTACTTTAGCAATTTTAATTAAACCATGACCCTTCCTGCATTATCCCAGGACAATATTATGCCAAACTCCATTTAAGAAATACCATATATTAACAATTATTTGCGCTTACATAAAAGCACATAACTGTAGAAACACAAGAAAAAACTCATCATATCTCAACAGTCTTCTTGTTAATTCGGCCTCAATATAATACATAAATACCAACTTTTTGGCCGACTTTGTCGCATCAACTCGTTACCAGCCTCACTATTTCAGTGGGAGAAGACCGTGGCAATAGATGGAAAAAACAAGATTTGTCATTAAAATACGTGGTTGTTAGTGGATCACGCGGACACCGAATTAAACACAGGTGTCTCCCCTCATTGTACTGTAAACTACTCGGCAGTGTCAGTAATGTATGGGCCAGTGTCACGGGCCAGAGCAAGGCACAATCAAAATTGCTTTAGGAATTTTCTAGTTACTTTTGTCCTCTCTGTTTCTTACCTCGTGTCCTTCTTTCCCTCACTTTTCCTTTCTTTCTTTGTTGCCTCTAGTTCTCTTTCAATATTTTCTTCCTTCCCTAAACTATATGTTTTTTTTGGAGCAGCCTTCTTTATTTCCCTGCTCTATATTAAATACGTCCTTCCTTCCTGTCTATCCAATACTGCTCACTCCATTTATATCTTCCTTCCTGCATATTAGATAAATAGTGGTTAACTAAACATAGCATACGTCAGAGCATATTGTATGAACCTACTGATGATGTGTTTTAATATTTGATATTATTATCCTCCATCAGTTCTGCTCAGAGTCAAACACTAGAGTCCAAACTGAAGGCACAAGAGTGCCACTTCACCTGGGACCTGAACCCCGGCAGGTCCAAACCTTTCCGTGTCAGAGACAAGCTGGAGGACATCGGCACCGAGGAGGGAAACAGCTGGCTGGGTCACATTTACAACCTGCGGGGGTACATTCAGTACAAGCTGGGATTCACTGAAGACGGTTAGTGGTGAACTACGGGAACCTGGCTTGGCTGCACCACCACCTGGGAGAACAAGAAGAGAGTCAGGCGTACCTGTCAAAGGTCGACGCCCTGATGAATAAATATCCATCTCCATCCCAGGACGAGCTCCATCCAGAGATCTACGCAGAAAAAGCCTGGACCCTGATGAAGTTCAGCACAGACCAAAAGCTGCTGGCTGCAGATTACTTTGAGAGAGCCATCAGGATGCAGCCGGACATGGTGGAGTGGAACACCAGCAGCCGTGTTTTAGCGTTAGTCAGTGCTTCTTACAACGAAGGGCCTGAGGCTGACATCTTGCAGAAATTGAGAATTGCCAAAGAACAGGATCCAGAGAACTTGTATCTCGCTGCTAAATACCTTGAACAACGTGGTAAGAAAGGAGAAAGAATTGAAGAAGAAGCACGTGGGTTAGGCAGACAGGTTTTGATAAATCCTGTGAGCAGCTACAGCGTAATGAAAGCATTACTGTGGGTTTACAGAAAGTATTTATCTAGAGATGAGGCCATTACTTTGGCAGAGGAGGCTCTGAAAAAACATCCAGATGAGGTGGGCTCAAGGTGAGCCACCCCAAAATAATGTAACCCATGTTATCTGCTGGCAGGAATTATGACAGAAATACCAGAAGTTTTCATTCATTGGAATCAAAAGTCAAGGCTAACATGCCTTTACTTTCATTTCCCAGAAAAGGAAACTTAAAATGCTCAGAACAAACTGGAGTACCGAGGTAGGCCTGCCACTGTGTCCTGTCAATTAAAGGCAAAAAGGCCCCAAAAAACATATTGAAAACAAAAGAAAGCTGTGATTAAACTGAATTCTGATGGTAATGTTGGTGTGGTGTTATTGGCTCAATTACAAAAGCACTACATGCATTAATTAAAGTAACTATTATGAATCTTACATTGGGATCACAATGACACAGCTTCTAAAAATAAATTAACTTCATTAACCCCTCCCTGAAATCCATCCAACAATATACCCTATTATGTAGTATAAGTTCCTGCAAATGTCCCGCCTCTGAAATTCTTTTTGATGTCATTATGAACATTTCATGTTCTACCGGTTCAGCAACATCACAGCATTTAAAGTGAAGCAGCTATCGGACATCACTGACATTGTGGCAGCGAACGCAGCATCGAGAGCAATAATCAGCCTAACAAACTAATATCTACCTACTGAGTGGAGGAAACAGATAAATGATGAGGTGAGTGGCTGCTTCTGCATTTCATATTGTAAGAATAAATAAAGAGTAACATTATGATTCATTTAATGTCTTATTATCGAGTCCAAAATATTAATATTAAGGATCCTACAAGTCAATGATGATGTTTTCATTCGCTACTTTCTTTCTTTTTTCTTACCTCGTTTACTTTCCTCTCTGTTTCTTACCTCGTGTGCTTCTTTTCCTCACTTTTCCTTTCTTTCTTTGTTACCTCTAGTTCTCTTTCAACATTTTGTTCCTTCCTTCAACCATACATTTTCTTTGGAGCAGCCTTCTGTATTTCCTTGCTCTATATTAAATACCTCCTTCCTTCCCGACTTCCTTCCTGTCTATCCAATACTGCTCACTCCCTTTATATCTTCCTTCCTGCATATTAGAAAAATAGTAGTTAACTAAACATAGCATACGTCAGAGCATATTGTATGAACCTACTGATGATGTGTTTTAACTTTGTTATTTTTATCCTCCATCAGTGCTGCTCAGAGTCAAACACTGGAGTCCAAACTGAAGGCCCTGCAGTGCCACTTCACCTGGGAGCTGAACCCTGGCAGGTCCAAACTTTTCCGTGTCAGGGACAAGCTGGAGGACATCGGCACCGAGGAGGGAAACAGCTGGCTGGGTCACATTTACAACCTGCGGGGGTACATTCAGTACAAGCTGGGGTTCACTGAAGACTCCCAGAGTTTGTTCAACCAGGCTACAGAGGCCCTCCGCCAGATAAGAGGAGCAGAAGAGGGTCCCTGGTTAGTGGTGAACTACGGGAACCTGGCTTGGCTGCACCACCACCTGGGAGAACAAGAAGAGAGTCAGGATTACCTGTCAAAGGTCGACGCCCTGATGAATAAATATCCATCTCCATCCCAGGACGAGCTCCATCCAGAGATCTACGCAGAAAAAGCCTGGACCCTGATGAAGTTCAGCACAGACCAAAAGCTGCTGGCTGCAGATTACTTTGAGAGAGCCATCAGGATGCAGCCGGACATGGTGGAGTGGAACACCAGCCGTGTATTAGCAGTAGTGAGTGCTTCTAACTACTGCAATGAAGAGCTAGAGGCTGACATCTTGGAGGAAATGAGAATTGCCAAAGTACAGGATCCAGAGAACTTGTATCTCGCTGCTAAATACCTTGAACAACGTGGTAAGAAAAGAGAAAGTATTGAAGTTGAAGCACGTGAGTTAGGCAGACAGGTTTTGATAAATCCTGTGAGCAGCTACAGCAGTATGAAAGTATTACTGTTGTCTACGTGTTTGTGGCTTTGAAGTGAATTGTGTTTTTTGCCTTATTGTTGTGGTTTTATTCTGTATCATGATGTGTGCCTTTGGCAAGACTGTTCATTCTTTTGAGTAGCTTTTATGTTTTGCTTTAGCATGTTTTAGCCAACTGTTTGTTGTTTATTTAAACTGTAAACTTAATATTGTAATGGTTATATTGTTTTATATTTGTGTCTGATGTGTAATCTAACAACTATACGTATTTGTTTGTTTATTAGGTACGGGTTTTTTGTGTTATGTTTAGGTGTGTTTTTGTGTTTTTTTTGTGTTGTGTGTTTTGTATGTGAATTTTTTTATTTGTATGTTATTTTTATTTATTTTTTATGTTATTATTTTTTTATATATTTTTTATTTAGTATTGTATAATTTTGTTTATGTTTTTTTTTTGTGTATATTATTTTATAAATTATTAGTTTTTATTAAATTGATTTAAAATAATGTGGGTTTACAGAAACTATGTACCTGTAGATGAGGCCATTACTTTGGCAGAGGAGGCTCTGGAAAAACATCCAGATGTACGTTATCTGAAGAGCTGTGCTGCACTCTGCTACAAATGGAAGATATTTTTTTCCTGGGATAGTCGCCAAAATCAAAGAATGATAGAGAGAGCAATCAGTCTCCATGAGGAGGTGATTTCTCTTTACCCTCAGTCTTCTCTTGTGAAGAAAATAGACCTCACAAATATATACGCAAAGTCAAGTCACACTGCTCAAGCTGAGCAGATATACCAAGAACTGCTAGAACGTGATCTGGAACCTGCAGACAAACAGATGCTTTACAACAACTATGCAAGGTATTTAAACTTTGATCGACAGGATTACAACGGGTCAATAAAATATTACATGAAGGCGGCAGAGATACCGCAACAATCCTTCTTTCGTAAGAACAGCATCAAAGTCCTGGAGAAGATTAAAGTCAGAAGCAGAAACCGAATGTCTAGAGAAATAGAGGAGTTCCTGTCAAACCTGCAAGAGCCATAGTGTTTTTAACAGCACTGGTTTAAATGCAGAACACCAGTAGGTGATGCATTAACTAAACAAAGCTGTATATTAATTTGATTACATACACAATTGGAAAACGTAGAAGTTTGGACCGATTTAGGGCAGATTGACTTCTGTTGAAACAAACTGATTTGTTAATTAACACGATCAGATTTTAAATGGATCAGGACACTTCAACCAAAGTTCTCGTAAGATTATCGAACAGCATTTCATAAAGTTTGAAAATTTAAAGGATTCAGCTCCCATCATTTAATTGGTTACTGGTTAAGTGCCCCCTTGGATTACCCCCCTGTTCCCACCATGTCCGAAAGAAAGCCACAAAGGTGCTGCTTGGACGTCCCCGTGGTAGATAGATCCAAACATTGTGCAAAGATGTGCAGATACTTTCTACCAGGTGTGAATGAATCTCTCCAGGGTTACACATACAAACACAAAATATCACATAAACTGTTGGAGAAACATGCAGATTGCTTATTAACACAATGTTTGCTGATGCTACTTGCTAGCTTGTCACTGTTACCATCCACTGTGGATGATGTCATTCAGTTAATTAATTTTTTTTGATCAGATGTTCTTTTTTTAACTCTTGTAATCAAAGTGTTTCCTTTATTCCTGTTGTGTTGATTTACTATATTTTTAAGTTAATATGAGAGTATAATACAGGGTCCTTATGTTCCCAGGGTTCAGGTTAGGGCTGGGTTTCCCAAACCTTTTCCATGTCAGGGACCCCCACAATAGATTCACATTAGACCACAGACCCCCAATTTGACATGATTTTGTCTTTTGCTTCACTTTTAGGTTTGAATATAATAAAGCCTCCATAAACTAGGATCACTTTAAATTACAATCAATAAAAACATCCAGTCGTATGTCTTCCCTCGCTGTTCCAACTTCCAGAAAATGTCATAAAACTTCAAATATAATATTCTTCCTTCTGCTGGGGACCCCCTGCAACTCACTCCAGGACCCCTGTTGGTCCCTGGACACCAGTTTGAAAACCACTGGCTTAGAGGACTACAAATACCAAAAGGCATCTGGAAAGCTCTGATTCAGGCCTCCTTCTCAATGTCAGCACACTGACACATGTAGAAGGTCTATAGGGGAAAGTACAAGTAAATGGAGGCAAACTGAACAATAAAATGAAAACAAACTATGAGTAAACCGGAGAAACATTTGTTAAAGACATTAATAGAGTTAAAGAAATGTCAGCCACTATGACTCAAGTGGTTCATTTGGCTTCATCTAGTGACCAATATATCTAAATACATCAATATTCTCAGGGTGAGGGGAGGCTTTTGACCGCAGTAGGAGGGTTAGGGTCCTATCTTTATGGGACCTCGGGCTCTGTTGCTATTATGCCAGCGGGATAAATGACTCTTGCGCCCGGCGCAAATCTAAAATGGGTTGGTCTGAAGTAGCTACATTAGTCATAGGTGTGGTTTGGGCGTAACGTGGAATAAGCCAATCAGAGCGTCATCTCACATTCCCTTTAAAAGCAGGCGCGCTTGTTCCATGGCGGATTGCTATTATAACGGCGGATTGGCCAGGCGCACGCCAGGAGCGGTTCACAGCCGAGGAGACCGACGTTCTCGTCAGAGCCGTAAAATACAGAGTAGTGACATTATTGACATGAAATAAATGTAACACAGCCATACAATAAATCAAAACAATGTAACGCAGCTTCGCAGGAAGAAGACCCTGGCCTCGGGAGCAGTGCGCACGGGCCGAGCAGTGCGCAACGGCGAGCTGAGGAGGGAGCAGCGCAAACACCAAGGTGCAGAGGATCCAGACCCGCTACACGCCGGAGGACCACCCGTTCCTGCAGCAAACCGGGTTTGACATGCTGGAGCGGGAGCTGTCCGGGATGCAGCAAAGTATTAATGCCCGTCTTGACCGGGTGGCGATGTTGCTGCTGCCTCTCAGGCGCATCCCCTCAAGTCTGCGCCCTTAAAACAGCATCTGAATAAGCGCCACTGACTTTAGACTAGGTTTTTCCTGGTCTGTGGTGGAATTGTTTTCTGAAACAGCAAAATAGCACCAGGGAACGTTTGCGCTGGAACACGCCTCCTCTTTTCGCTGAACCGCCCCCGGAGCGCAAATTCATTCCCTAATTTAAGGACGTGCGTCAGTGGAGGGAAAATTCCAATGTGCGTCGAGTGCAAAATAGGAATTATACAAGCGCCAGTGTACAAAGTCAATTGCGCTGAGTGCAAGATAGAGCCCTTAGTGTGCAAACGCGTTTACACTTTTTGCTCCATGAGCCTCCAAGTCACAGGAGCACCAACCAGCTGCCGCACTGACTGCTAGATTACCTGAGAGATTAACTGCTTCTGTGCTCTAATTTTAGACCCAACACATTCAAATGTCACAAACTATGTTCAGCAGGGTCTCCTGTTTCTTATGATATCAACATTTGGGAGATAGGAGTTAATATCGTTGAGGTAGAAGCAGTATGAAAAGTGTGTCGTCAGCATGGCAACCTTAAAATGGAGTTGGAAACACATAACTGATTAAAATGAGCTAATAAGTGCAGTTTCACACACACACACACACACACACACACACACACACACACACACACATATTTTATGGCATTTTCACTTTTTTAAGCATTATTCAACTCTTGAACTCAAATTCAAAACGTATAATTTTAAAAGCTTAAACACAATAAGAGATTTATTCATCTTTCACTTTCATAGTAATTAGACTGTCTCCCAACTAGAATACACCTTCATCTGCTTCCTCATGAATTAAACCCAGCAACCCAGCAAAGATTCATTAAGTCATAAACACTCTTTATATTTATTCAACTTTTCATTCCCATTTACTTCCACTCTTTTCTGTTTTTCCAACTAAAATACTCCTTTGGTTGCTTCTTTATACAAATTAAAGCCAGCAATTCAGATTAGTGTCAGCTTTTCGACAAATCTTAAAATATTCCACGTTTTTCATACATTATATGTTTTATTCAACATTTTAAGCCAAAAATGCAGTTTGAACCTGACTGCGCCTTGTGGTTTGTTACACAGAACCATTTGGGAAGTTGTCGGAAACTGTTTGGAAAAGGGCAGAGACTTTCCTCTGTCTATCATTAGCAAACATTCAACTTCCAATCAGATCAATGAACCATATAATGTCAAACTCTTACTGAAGTCTTTTCCATCAAGAAAAGCCTTCAGTGTCGTTCTTCATTGTTCTTTCAATGAAGAAATTCAGTTCTGATATAAGTGATTCTACAGAATCTTTCATTTTGAGCAAACAATCTAGCACACATCTAGCGTTAAACCAGGCCTGTAGCTCACGACATAGCTGCGAGTATCTTCACACAAGACGCAAGACGTATGTACAGTTTGATCGGTTTACCTGGTGTGAATGAATGTCTCAACGGTTACACAAACAAACACAAAATCTGCAAAAGAAACTTGCAGATTGTTTATTGACACAATGTTTGCTAATGCTACTTCCTACCTTGCTGGAGTTAACATCTATTGTTTATATATTTAAATGTCATAAATAATCCTGATTAATTAACATGGGTTTTGGTCAGATGTTCTTTTCTTAACTCTCATGTAACCATAGCATTTACTATATTCCTGATGTGTTTGTTTTCTTTAGTATCATATTTTAAGTTTATATAAGAACATAATACTCTCTATGGAAGTTGTTTTGTTGTGATCTTTGAAAAATTAAAATCTGATTGTTGATGTAAAAGTTAATTTGATGTATAACCTGAATATTATCACAAGACAGAACTGATTGTATTTATATAAATTATGTTACGTTGTGTCTGAGTTGTACAATACTAATAAAATTAAATAGACATCATGTACACTGAGGAATCTTCTTCATGTTTTCATCCTTTTGGTGGGTACAAGCTGAATTCTGCCCCTAAAAATGGGGATTATCAGCAGGATTACAATTTTAAAATACATCACTTTTTCAGAATCAGAATCAGGTTTATTGCCATGTAAGTTTTTACACATACATGGTAATTGTCTTGTCTCTGTGCATTGGTACATAAAAAAATCACAAAAAAGTACTTTTTAAAGATAAATAAAGGTAAAGATAAAGATAGAAAGATCTAAAGCTGTACAAGAATGATATTTACAATGTGCAAGATAAAAAAAACAACAAACGGGAGTGCATTAATATAATGCATGTATACAGGGTAGGTTTAAGAGTCAGTGTCAGTGGGGGGTTCTGGGCCTTGTTAATGAGAACTGCTGCAGACGGAAAGAAACTGTTCTTGTGGCATGAGGTTTTGGTCCTGATGGACTGCAGCCTCCTGCCAGAGGGAAGTGTTTCAAAGAGTTTGTGTTTGGGGTGGGAGGGGTTAGGCACAATCATACCTGCACGCCTCAGGGTCCTGGAGGCATACGGGAGAGTTAATTTTTTAAAGGGTTGGAATTTGAAACGCTTAATTATCAACCATAGCTTACAGTCATTTGTGCTACAGCAACAATACTGTGCTGAAGTATTCACACTACGAAGCAACACTGAGGACAACAATCTGTGATTGCTTGCAGCAATCAGGTGAGTAAATGGACTGGGAAGGAGGAGAGAGTTGGTATGAGGCAAGGTGAGCCACCTAAAAGAATATAATCCATGTTATGTGCTGGCTGGAAATGAACAGAAACTATGTATCTGTAGAGACCATTGTTTGGGGCGGCGGT